TAATATGTAGCTGTTCTGAAAATCAGAAGTAGGAGGGGAAGAATTTAAATACTTTTAAAGGAAGAATAATTGAGACTTATATGACTTATTTTAAAACTATACAAAGTAGGAATCAAAATAATGTAAATGTTTCAAATATACTTTACATTGGAGCGCATCTTTTCTCAGAAGCTAAGTAGGGTCATGCCTGGTTAGTACTTGGATGGGAGACAGCTACTGGAAAAGTTAGCAAAACAACTAACTAGAAATCAGACTAACAACTAAATGGAAATCAGATAAAGCCACCTAATGCATAGATACTTATACAAATAATTTACGTCTTAATTTTTAAAGACTTAATAAATGTTCCTAATATAATGCTGTGGGCTTAGTTCTGTCAGTAAAATTGTGCAACATTTTTGTTCTTTATGATGAAAATCATTCATTAACACCATTATACAATCCTATGAGATCTAACCATGTTCTTTTGCATTTCAGAGATATTCCTAAATAGGTATCTATAATTCTGTGTACCTCTACAAAAATTATATGGTTAGTCAAACAAATTGAAATGTCCCAGGAGATAGTTTCCTCCCACCAAAGCTATTCAGAATTTGTCCTAAATGGATAAATTGATGTCATAACTACCTAAACCAGAGGTCCCCAAACTTTTTACACAGGGGGCCAGTTCACTGTCCCTCAGACTGTTGGAGGGCTGGACTATGCAAGGTGTGACACCCTTCACAGCCAGCGCTGCTGCCTCCACTATCCCAGACAGCGGTATACAGTGTCACAGGCCCAGCACCGCCTCCAGTGCTGTCTACAGGGATGGCGGTGATCAGCCTGTGACACTGTGTATACAGCATCCTGGACATCTGCAGCAGCGGTGGGCCTCTTCTGTGGGAAGCCCACTGCTGCATGTTTCCCCTATTATAAGACACCTCCTAAAAATAAGACAGCCCACGTCTTTTGGGGGTAAAATTAATATAAGACAGGGTCTTATAATAGGGGAAACATGGTGTGTAGTAATGTGGGGGGAGACTTTTGGGCAAAGGGAGGTTATAGGGGCCATTATGTTGTACATTTGGAGGAGTATGGGGGCCATTGTACTGTGTAGTAATGGTTACAGTGCTTTGCCTTTCTTCCTACTTCTGCTGTTATTTCACACTGCTTCCGGTGATGTGGGGCGCTGCAGCCGCAGACCGGATGTGCATCATATGACACGCTTCCGGAGCCGTGACGCGTGCATCCCACGTCACCGGAAGTAGTACTGTACGTGAGCAACGCCGCGCTTTGTGGCACCACCACATACAGTACTCCTGTGCTCCTCTTACTGACCACGAGTGAAAGGAGGTGCCCCTTCCTGAAGTGCAGTGGGGGCTGGATAAATGGCCTCAGGAGGCCGCATGTGGCCCGCGGGCCGTAGTTTGGGGACCCCGACCTAAACAATTTAATTTACTATAAATTTCTCTTTTTAGGATAGACATTGATCCTAAGAAGGGAAATCCTCTATTATGCCCAAATTAGACTCTACCATTGAACAAAAATCTATCAAGTTTGCTTTCCCCTGTAACATTACAGAACTTTCCTGTATCTCCCCTTTATAAGGAATGGATGAACTAAGATAGAATGAGGTTTGAATGCAAGTACAGTTTCAAATTAACAGTGGCTTAGTAGATAGTTCACTGTTCTGTCACACAGCTCAAGTCATTTCTTCCATATGGCCCAGAATTTTGATGTAATTAAGAGTAGTCAAGAGCTGTTTGCTGAGAAATACTAATGGAACTCTCATGCTTCATATCATCTTTTAAAAGATATGTACCTATATATGAAAATATCCTTCAGATAACTCTGATCTTCTTCACTATTTTTTATTTGTTTGTTTTACACTGTAAACTCTTCAGCATCTGGCATATGGTAAGTATTCAGCAAATATTTACTGTATTAGGCATTCAATCTGTTGAATATTTTTTCCCTTGGTAATGACTTGCCTGAAAGTATTTGTTTGCCCATTTTAAAGGAATAATGATAGTAAAAGATATATAGATAGGTATACAGACATAAAATATATATTTTAAAATATCTAGAATTTTTAAAATATCTAGAATTCTAGATATCTAAAATATCTAGAATTATCTAGAATTTTTTAAACTTAGTGTCATAAATACTTCATCAGTTTTATCAAATTCATTGCATGAGTAGTTTATTTGAAAACTTCATAAGAGATTAATGTGTTTGTGATGACAAAATTTGATTTGCATTTCCAGCAACGTGAACTGGAAGAGTGGCAGTTGCAGCAAAGGCAGCAAGGATTTATTAATGCAATTATTGAAGAAGAAAGACTGAAACTTCTTAAAGAGCATGCCACAAACTTACTAGGCTATCTCCCTAAAGTAAGTGAGATTTATATCCAGTTGTAATCTTCATGACCTCTAATAGTGAAAAAACACATGGTATTTGGATTTCAGAGGGCCTGGGTTTTGCTCACTTCTTGCTCTGTTATGAAGCAGCAGTGGGATCCTGGGCCCATTTCACTCTGTCTAAAATGAGCAAGTTGGTCTTGGCACATTAGAGGTATGAGCTTTTTTAATTGAATTTGTACTTTATTAGTTATTTTATCACCCAGGCTGGCATGATGCTGGCATACAGTGGCATGATCCCAGCTCACTGCAACCTCTGCCTCCTGGGTTCAGGTGATTCTCCTGCTTAAGCCTCCCGAGTAGCTGGGATCACAGGCGTTTGCCACCATACAGTGGCATGATCCCGGCTCACTGCAACCTCTGCCTCCTGGCTTCAGGTGATTCTCCTGCTTCCTGGGTTCAGACCATTCTCCTGCTTAAGCCTCCCAAGTAGCTGGGATCACACGCATTTAATTTACCACATTAAACCCAGCTAATTTTTGTATTTTTAGTAGAGACAGGGTTTCACCATGTTGGCCAGGTTGGTCTCAAGCTCCTGACATGACACCTTCCATGACCTCCCAAAGTGCTGGGATTACAGGCCTGAGCCATCATGCTTGGCCTGAATTTGTATTTTAGAGGCCCTTTTCTTTTAGTGTAGGAAATCTAAAGCTACTCTAGAACAACTGTAATACTTATATGCCAAAGATTAGAATATATTTGAAAACATCGTAATTGGTAACACCAGTAACAGGCATGTGCTTGAACTGAGTTTGAGACAAATCTGCTTTATAGTAGGAAGTTATAACTAGTTAAACTTGATTTTTTAAATTCTAGAAGATAGTGAATTTTAATGTACACCCGAGAAACGTTGTGACTGCAAATAAAATAATAACTGGCTGGGCACAGTGATTCATGCCTATAATCCCAGCCCTCTGGGAGTCTGAGGCAGGAGGATCACTTGAGCCCAGGAGTTGAAGACCACCATGGGCAACATAGGGAGATCACATTGCTACAAAAATAAAATAAAATGTGGTAATGCATGCCTGTATTCCCAGCTATGCTGGAGGTGGGAGGATTGCTTGATCTGGAAAGCTAAAGCTGCAGTGATCCATGATCTTGCCACTGCACTCCAGCCTGGGCAACAGAGTGAGACCCTGTCTCAAAAAAATAAGTTTGATAGGCTAAACATCTAGACTCATATAGGATCACCATCTTTCAGCTATAGAAATGCCATTTCATATTTTATTCAGTAAAATCAAGTGCATATTTTATAGTCAGTCTCGTGCTAAGGAAGGAAAAAGATAAATATATAGGTAATTATTGCCTGGTCACAGGACTTGATAGTCTAATTGGTTAGACAGGATTAAGGAATACAAAATGATGTGTTAATGATAAAATCCAAATGTAATTACTAAATTTCATAAATTATAAATTCTAGGAATGTCTTTGGGATTTGATATTTTCATAGGTGAAACAACTGTGGAGGCAGGAGGAGGGATTAATAAACCTGATATCCAAAAATGGCCATTATCCTTTAGGTCCTAATGGCCCCAGATGACCTCAGTTATCCTTAAAATTCTTTAGATTGCAAGATAAGTAAGTAATTAATTTTGTTTTAAGGAGCCTTTTGTTGTATACTGTAGGAGAAAAGAAAAATGTAAGAGTGAAGAATTCCAAAGGATTTGCTTAAATGGCTTAACTCTAAACCTTGATTCTTTTCTGCAAGATTGATTGTTTACCCATAGAACTGAGGCATAAAGAACTGATCCCATATATAAGTCTATCGAAGCTCACTCTTATATTATAGAGCTATTTTAAGCCAAGGGTAGGTCACAGTATAGATTAAGTTCTTTCGTATCCAAGCAGAAGTACTTAGGGAAGCCAAGTGCAGTAGAACTTGTAGAAGAGCTCAGATTCCTATGACAATCTCCTACAAGAGAACTGATAAATCAGAAAATTGGGCCAGTCTAAGAATATTCAATATATATGTCAAATCATTTTTTGGAAAGGATTGATTTATTTAAAAATTTCATTAATCTGTTGAATAGATTTCATTACCTTGGAGATAAATCATGTCTTTGTCAGTCTTAAAAACATTTAGTGAAATATTCTGGTACAAAAGTAACCCAGAAAATATTTTTCTTGTAGGGAGTATTTAAAAAAGAGGATGATATTGATCTGCTTGGTGAAGAGTTTAGGAAAGCGTATCAGCAAAGAAGTGAAATTTGTGAAGAGAAATGATATCATCAAAATTGGGTAAATTTTGTATGTTACCACTAGATGTCAGCATAACTTTTGTTTTATAGTTCAGTGGCAGTAGGAATCCCATTGTCTATTTGGATTTTGTAAATCATCACTGAATTTGATAACTTGTAAAGAATTATCAGATAAAAATCAAACTGTTATTTTTGTATTGATAATTTGAAATTACAGCACTCTGGAGGATTGTTTGCTTCCCCATCCTTATTTACCTTTACTAACATAGAATTCGCTGCACAGTGAACTGCCTTCTGTGTTTGAACTTCACTTGATTTGGCCAGGGAAATAAATGTTTGGAATTTTGTTATAAAGCATCTTTTTCATTCTACTGTAACGGAAGAGAATTGTAAATGAAAAGAATGAAGAATTTTATTATCTAATTGTCACATTAAGTAAGAACTTAGAAAACAAACTCAAAAGAACATAAAAGGTCATAAGATAGCGAATCAGAAGTTAAATTTTTGTTGCTTTGTTTTAAAAAAATTTTCTTATAAATACATATCAGAATAATGCATCAGTTTTGTATCTCTCAAATCTAAACAGAGAATTCTTTGAAGTTATTTCAATTTCATAATCCCAGAACTTCATTTCTTACAAAGAATAAAAATAATTCAAACCATTACAGTAAGTAAAATGGGTATCCATCACATACTGTCATAGAGACTCACTGAAGTAGATCACTTATTTATTTCCCCATTCCATTCAAGTGCTTTCATAAATTCCTCCTCAGTGAAAGACAGCATCTTGGCAGCTTCAAAATGCATCTGATAAAAAAAAAAATCAGTATTGTCTGATTTAGTATTAAGAGTAGGCCACCAAACAACAGGAAATTTGTAAAAATGTGTGGGTAATATATTGTCAGCATGTAATTTCTGTTGTAGGAACATACACTCTTAATTCCAATAAGCATGATACTTAAAATGGTAATTACATTCAAGGACCAACCTATAAAAGACTTTGTTCCCAACAGTGGTATTGAACCAACTTACTTTTAGGGTAATTCAGTGATATTGTAATAACTGACCTTTGCAAAGAAGGAAAGTGTCAGAACTATGAACTTTTAGAGAAAGCAGCAATAGTGGTTTGGAAGCAGTTAGTCCCCTAAGGTAATAGTCATTCTTTAGTTTGGTACCTTCTGTAGTTGATAAGTACCTATACTGTATTTTCTAGTCCCATTTTCTACAATAATTTACTCACATGAAAATATCCACTAGCTTAGATGACACATCATACATGTGAAATCTAACATATATAGTGAGATTTATATATATAATGCATTTTTGTATGAAGCCTAAAGATGTCAAAAATTAAACATACCTAAAGTGAAAATGCTAAATTTTTTAGTAAGAAAGGTACAAATAGTATGATTTAACTTTAATGACAGACTCACCTTCTGCCTTTTTAAAACATCAATTAATTTTAACTGTTTCTTGAACCCTATGATTAATTCTCCTTTTTGTTTTTCTAGCTTCTTGTTTTCTGATTTTAACACTTCAATTTTTTTGTGGTCTTCATTTGTTATGTCCTACAAAAAGAAAAAAAAAGTGCCACATATTCTTTTTTAATATATAGCCTTTCAATGGAAAGAATTATAGACTATCATCACAACAGTAATAAAAATTACTTTTTAAAACTGAAATACAATTTTTTGTAGATCAAATTGCTTTCCATTACCAACTTACTGGAATTTAATAGCTTTCAGTCATGCTCAGGTCTTTTGCATTTTAAAAGAATGTTTTAAAAATAATTCTAATTCCGGCCGGGCACGGTGGCTCAAGCCTGTAATCCCAGCACTTTGGGAGGCCAAGGCAGGTGGATCACGAGGTCAAGAGATCGAGACCATCCTGGTCAACATGGTGAAACCCCGTCTCTACTAAAAATACAGAAAATTAGCTGGTGGCGTGTGCCTGTAATCCCAGCTACTCAGGAGGCTCAGGCAGGAGAATTGCCTGAACCCAGGAGGCGGAGGTTGCGGTGAGCTGAGATTGTGCCATTGCACTCCAGCCTGGGTAACAAGAGTGAAACTCTGTCTCAAAAATAAATAAATAAATAAATAATTCTAATTCCACTAACAGCAAAGTAGCTTGTATTGAACCAACATAAACTCTGAAATTATGAATTTTAAAAAATATATTTAAAAGCATAAAAGCATAGATGAGTAATCATTAATAAGTAGAAACTGGAAGTGCTATGTTTCTTGAAACAACAGAAATACTGGTTGAGATCCACAGTCAACTAGCTTCACCTGAAAGCACTTTACAGTTTGTGGGTTCACAGAGCTAGAACACAGGCAAAAAGTAGTAGTCTTACTGGACTGAGGAGTCAGACAGCAGGGCTGGCAGGGTGGTACAAGTTTTTAAGTAGGAAATTCTAGAACAAGAAAGCCCTCAAAATATGTATACGTATTGCCCTCAAATGCTTGGCAGACATCTAAATACCATTTACAGAGTGAGACTCCTAGGCACCTGTGAAAGGAAATGGTTGTGATGTTTAGCTAAGCAGAGAATTTACCCGCTTTCCATGACAAGGGGGAGACCCAAGTTTGTAATCTTGGTACAAATGGATTGGATAAGCTCTGTGGCAATTTAGACAATGCAGAAAAAGGATTAGTGAATATTATTTATGTCAGCAGAAATCATTAAGTATAGGAAGATCTATACTTGAAATGTTAAAGGAAGTCTTTCATACAAAAGGAAATCTGAATCTCTATACACATAAAAAGATGGAAAAGGAGAAAAACCAGCAAGAGTAATGTGATATCTATTTATCAGTGTGTGTGTATTTTTTTCTAAGAAAAAATAAAAAATCTTTAAAAGATAACAGAGTGATGTCAGCAAGATCATGGATTAGGAAGCTTCAGGCCTTTGCTCCCCCATTAAGAGACTGAATATATGATACACAGACCAAAGTAGCTTTGGGAGAGCTCTAGAAAACCAGTCAGCAGCAGCAGCAGCAGCAACCAAGAGAATACCTAAGAAAAAACCATACTCAAAATGGTAGGAAATGTCATGGTTTTGGCTCACCCTTTCCCCACATCCTCCTTGGCACAGCACAGTCAGGAAGAAGCCACCCAGCCACCCAATTCCCAGTTCCTCCCTGGGAATGGAAGGAAAAGAGTAGACGTGCTTGCACCATTCAGACTTTTCTGGAGCCTCCCCGAGGGACTGGTATCTGTCTTGCTTGACTCAGCACTGACGGGAACAGCTGCATCATTTTGATATCCAGTTGGAAGCAGCGGAAACAGGTGCCGGGTACCACTGCATGTGAGAGGTGCAGTGAGTCCAGAGAACTGCAGGAACCTGGTGGCAAGAACTTATGGGCAGCGGAATACAATATAGCATCTAAAACTGTGATAAGGAGGAGTGACACTTTTAGGTAATTAGGATATTTAAAAGAAGCCATGTGTATGGAAAACTGGAATTAAAACACAAAGGCCCCTGAAAGACACAGTCACAGAAAAGGTTTGAGAGGACCTCAAGACTTTATGCCATGCTGATTAGTGAAGGTCTTTTCTTGCATGCAGCCAGTCTGCAACACTGGGAGAAGTGGCTGTTTATTCAAACACCCATTTTTCTACATAAGATCACAAGGCATTCAAGGAAACAGGGAAATGTGAACCATATTAAAGGAACAAAATTAATACCCAGAAATGTATCCAAAAGAAACAAAGGCTTCTCACTTATTTGACAAGGACTTTAAAACAACTGCTATAAATATACTCCATGAGCTGAAGGAGAATATTGACAACTAACTGAAGTCAGGAAACCTATATATGAATAAAACGAGACTATAAACAAAAATTACAAAAAAGAACCAAACAGATTCTAAAGCTGAAAAACACAGTAACTGAATTGAAAAATACACTTGAAGGGTTCAACAGCAGAGTTGAACAGGTATAAGAATGAGTGAACTTTGAGGCAGGTCATTTGAAATGAGCAGGTAAGAGGAGCCAAGAGTAAAAGAATGAAGAAAAATGAACAGCAGCTAAGGGACACCATCAAGTGGGCCAATATGTATAACAGTGTAATCTTAGAATAGAGAAAAAACGGGTACAAAGAACTTATTTGAAGAAGTAATAGGTGAAAAATTCCCAAATTTAAGAAAAGAAATGGATATACAAATACAAAAAGCTCCATGAACTCCAAGTAGGATAAACCCAGAGAGACCCACAGCAAGACACATTTTAATCAGTCAAGCATCAAAGAGAAAAGCTTGATATCAACAAAACAAAATGATTCATCCCATGCAAGGGAGCATCTGTAAGAATATAAGAATATTTTTCAGCAGAAACTTTGCAGGCCAGAAGTCAGTAGGGTGATAAATTTAAAGTGCTGAAAGAAAAAAAAATCATATCAGGAAGAATACTACATCCAGCAAATTATCCTTCAAAAGTGAAGAAGAAATTAAGACATCCCTAGATAAAAGCTGAGGAAATTCATTACCACCCTATCTTCCTTACAAAATCCTAAAGAGAATCCTGCAAAAGTTAAAACAAAAGGATACTAGACAGTAACTCAAAGCTATATGCAAATATGAAATTCTCCAGTAAACATAAATATTTGGAAAAATAATTGGACAAATATAAAGGCCCGTATTTTAATTTTCTTTGACAACTCACTTTTCATTCTTCTATAGAATTAACAGACAAAAGCATAAAGAATGTTGTCAATCTTTGTTAATGGGTATATAACATAAAGATATAATTTGTGACATCAATACCACAAGGTAGGGAGGGGCCAAAAATGAGTGGTCTTTATATATGACTGGAGTTACACCATTACATAAAATCAACCAAACACTAAGAAAGGCAATAAGGGAGGAAATGAGAGGCTAAAAATCCTCCAGACATCCAGAAAACAATGAATACATAGCAACAGGCCTTCCAATAACTTTAAATGGACAAAGCTCCCTAACCAAAATACACTGAATGGAAGAATGGATTTTAAAAAAATGGAATCCAACTATGTGTACTCTGCAAGCAACTAACTTTAGATCTAGAGATATGCACAGGTTAAAGGTAAAAGGATGGAAAAAGATAATCTATGAAATTTTGTAACCAAAAGAAAACAGGAATGACTACAGTAATATCTGACAAAATGGACTTTAAGTCAAAACTCTTAAAACATGCCAAGAAGGGGCCGGGCGCGGTGGCTCAAGCCTGTAATCCCAGCACTTTGGGAGGCCGAGGCGGGTGGATCACGAGGTCAAGAGATCGAGACCATCCTGGTCAACACGGTGAAACCCCGTCTCTACTAAAAAAATACAAAAAATTAGCTGGGCATGGTGGCACATGCCTGTAATCCCAGCTACTCAGGAGGCTGAGGCAGGAGAATTGCTTGAACCCAGGAGGTGGAGGTTGCGGTGAGCCGAGATCGCGCCATTGCACTCCAGCCTGGGTAAAAAGAGCGAAACTCCGTCTCAACAAAAAAAAAAACAAAAAACAAAAAACAAGAAGGACATTATATAAGAACATATGGGCCAAACGAAAGGGCCAGTTTAGTAAGAAGATTGATAGAATTATGTATGTACCAAACATTAATACCAAGAAGGACATTATATAAGAACATATGGGCCAAACGAAAGGGCCAGTTTAGTAAGAAGATTGATAGAAATATGTATGTACCAAACATTAAAGTGCATAAATATATGAAGTAAGCATTGACAGACTTGGAGAAATAGAACACTCTACAATAAAAGTAGACTTCAATGCCCCACTTTTAATAATCGGTAAAACCACCAGGTAGGAGACAAAGACGTAAGAGACTTGATCAACATTACAGACCAGTTAGATTTAACAGACATAAAGAATACTCCTCTAGGCCGGGCGCGGTGGCTCAAGCCTGTAATCCCAGCACTTTGGGAGGCCGAGGCGGGTGGATCACGAGGTCGAGAGATCGAGACCAACCTGGTCAACATGGTGAAACCCCGTCTCTACTAAAAATACAAAAAATTAGCTGGGCATGGTGGTGCGTGCCTATAATCCCAGCTACTCAGGAGGCTGAGGCAGGAGAATTGCCTGAGCCCAGGAGGCGGAGGTTGCGGTGAGCCGAGATTGCGCCATTGCACTCCAGCCTGGGTAACAAGAGCGAAACTCCGTCTCAAAAAAAAAAAAAAAAAAAAAAAAAAAGAATACTCCTCTAATGCAAAGGTATAACAAGGATGTAATGGACTCTGTGAAGGAAGGGTGGGAGGGAGGTGAGCAATAAAAGACTACATATTGGGTTCACCAAAATCTCAGAAATCACCACTAAAGAACTTATTCGTGAAACCACTACCACCTGTTTCCCAAAAACAATTGAAATAATAATAAAGGAAAAATAGAATCATATACCAAAATTTACATATATGTAAAGACAGGAAGTAGATTAGTCGTTGCCTAGGGCTAGGGGTAGAATGTGGTGCAGGGTGTTGGGGGAGAATAGAGTAGCTGTGAACGGGTACAGAGGTTCTTTTGGGGGTGATAAAATTGCAAAATTGATTATGTGTGATGGTTGTACAACTTTGACTACTAAAAACAACTGATTT